ATGGCATGGTTGGAACACCATGAGCCATGGATTGATTGGAGGTCAAAGACCTTGGGCGTAACGCGCACGTCTCTTGGTGGGGTTCTGGCAAATCATGAACCCATCACTGCTAGGAGACAAAAGCGCTATTGGCGAGAGCAATGGACCGAGACGGTCAACGTGCCGGACATTGGAGTGTCCGAGTTGGTAGACACCAACGGTGTATCGGACAGGAGTCCCGAGCGTGACTCGCGGGCTGATCTCGGAGTGCACGAAACCCACTGAGCGCTGGTCAAGTTTCGGAGCGGTCGCTACATGTCATGCAAGACATGGTCGGCCAAGGGCCGAGGCATCAAGGGCAAGGCCCCCCGTGATGCACGTGAAGTTACACATAAACCACTGAGCGCTGCTCGAGAGCGAAGCAGTCACTGCATGTCATGTGTGACATGGTCGGCCAAGGGCCGAGGCCCCCGTGATGCACGTGAAATGGTAGGTGAATCACTTAGCACTGCTCTCGTTGCGTAGCAGTCGCTGCATGCCATTGATGGCGTGGTCGGACAGAGTCCGAGGCATCTTTGACACGGCCTTTCAGATGCGCGTGGAGTGGCACGTTATCCACGACTGCGGAATTAGCAGCTTTTCGTTGGACGTTGTAGATAACATCGGGGCTCCAAAGGAGCTGAAAGTGAGGGTGACACCGGACGACGCGAAGGGCGTGTTCACACTGGTCTCACCGAGACATAGAATCTGACGCCGGGCGTCGACCCTCATCCAGGGTGTGTCTACCGTGTACGATGACAAACAATTATACACCCCAGCAACGGTATGACGGTGATGAAATATGGCGACGTCCGCTTCGAGGCTATGCCTGCAGTAGATGATCTACTTGAGCTGGACGAGACCCTTGATTAGTCCGGCAGTCCCTTGAAGGCAGACAATTAGGCCGAAGTGATCATTGTACGATCGGACGAGGAGATCAACGCGTCATCGCTTTTGGATGAAGCTGTCTTGGAGGACACCAAGAGAGTGCTAGGTGCACGAAGTGGATCGTCGATCCTACGGAATCCCTTGAGTCCGTTCTATTCTTTGGTAAAGGAATTTCCAGATGTCGTCTCCAATGACCCGTCTTCGGTCCTACCTCTGGACCGAGATGTACGTCATATGATCGACCTGGTTTCGGGAACTAAAAACTGCGTAACATGTCAATGGCCCCTGCCCAAGGAGCAGTGCGACGTCATTGACGCTTTTTCCCGTGCGAAGCACGACGCAGGGATGGTACGTGAGAGCAAATCTCCCCATTTGTCACCCACGCTTTGTGTTCGGAAGCCGAACGGCAAGTGGCGTATCATTCATGCTTACAATAAGCTCGACGCGGTCACCATTCCGGCACAGACGCCGATTCCTAGAAAGGAGGTTTTTCAAAACAACATGGTAGGATGTACGAAGTACAGTGCACTGGACTTGGTAGATGGATATTACCAATCGCTCATGAGAGCGAGTAACATTCCGCTGACAGCGGTGAACACTCCAAGCAGCATGCTCTGGGAGTGGGTGGTGATGCCGCAAGAGCTGTCAAATGCACCAGCAACATTTAATCGTTTTGGGACGCAGTTGTCAGGCCCCACAGGACGTATGCACAAACATTCTTTGAAGACATTTTCCCTCACAGTCGTGCGGAGCGCGGGAGGGCGGATGAGGAGAGCCACATCGTTCTTTCAAGAGCTGTGCTCGAGTGCATGCGCACGAACAAAATGTACGTTAATGCAGACAAAAGCACCTTGACGCAGAAGAGATTTCTTTTTTAGGGTGCTATATTGGGAAGCGTGGCCATCGAGCGGATCCTGCTAAGGTCAAGGCCATTTTGGACTGGCCTGTTCCCAAAAATAAGACGGACTTGCGTAACCGGCTTGGTCTTGCCAACTACTTGCACAAGTACCGGGTAAACTATTCAGAAATGGCCCGACCATTATCCAATCTCCTTAAAAGTATGCAGAATAATGCTAAACACCGAACATCAGGAGGCTTTTGGCGTGGTGAAAGACAGCCTCCTGCATGCACCGATAATGGCACTGCCATACTCCCGATCGTTCTTACAGCATTGTCTGTGACGCTTCGGGACTTTACCATCGGCTGTCCACTGCTGCAAGCAGACGCCGAGGAAATCGGGTGATCGCGTTCCATTCTCGACAGTTCAAAGCTTCAGAGAAGAACTACCCAGTCTGTGACAAGGAGCTACTTGCAATGAAGTCTGCACTTTTCAAGTTCAGGGTCCTCCTGCTCGGCTTCAAGCCGTTTGTGAGCTATACAGATCATGCGTTACGAAGCACTGCGAAGAGGATGACCTAATGGCTATCCTTCTTTGCGGAACATGACTTTGAGGTGAAGTTTAAGCCGGAAAAGCAGAATGCTTTGGCTGATGCATTGTCATGCAGACCAGACTATGAGCTTGCTTATGTTACAACTGTAACGTCGACTGTGACGGATTTCATCCGCACCGCGTATGCGGATGATGCGATGTGTGTAGCGCTGCTACGGGCTCTCGGGAGCAAGAGGTTTGGAGATTCGAACAAGAAATTGTCATCAAGACTGCGTGCACGATTGCACCGATGTTCGTTGAATAAGGGCTTGCTATATCATAGCACCGATTAGCGGATACACCACGAATTATGGTTCC